TAGGAATCCAACAATAACCACATACACAGAAGCATGAGTCTCTATGACACATTTTCTCATGTACAAAAAAAAACTTAAAACAATGAAACCTCCCGAATTCTAAACTTGAACACTGAAAGAATAAGTTATTTCTTCTGTTCCTAATAACAAAATTCACTTTAACGAATTTGACATAAAAGCCCCATTTTAAATGTCAACGAAATTATAAAGTACTTAATTATATGGATCTCTGCTACCTCGAAATTTCGTCGTCGACTACTACAGTAGTCTGTCATCAATTTAATACTCGTAATATAATACATTTATTATTCAATAATATTAACAAACTTGTTTTAGAATTTATATTATGATATTGTGATTAGTCTTTCTAATGTTAAAAATGTGAATATCCGTTGCCTGTTAGCGCCTTCACGTCTCAATCAATCCTCATGAAATTTAACATACCCTTTTTTTATTATGGTTATTAAATACTAGCGATCCGACCCAGCTTCGCAAGTGTAGATAAAATTTTTGGAACTAATATATAGCCATACTCGCTGATAATTTGACTTTCTAGAGGTGAACGAATTTTAAAAATCGATTGAATAGTTGTTGAATTTCTCCTTTCTCCTTATATTAATATATACCATATAGATCCCGGATTCGGTCATAAAAATGTAGACGATGTCTTGTTATATCCAAAATTATAAAATTTTAAGTATAATTATAAAATTACCATATGAGTTTCCGTGAACTATGGTAAGTTCTTTCATAAAACACAAACATACACAAGAGTTGTAAATAACGCTGCGCGCCCCCGCGGCGACCAAAGACTTGTTGATTACATCAGGTTGTCTCTTTTCATATCGTGCACACTGTTGTGATTTAACCGCCACCTGTACTTGTTTATGTGGTCCTGATAAGCGCCAACTAGGAAGTTAAATGTGCATGCCAGATAGTAAACACTCAAGTTTTCAGTTTAACCATAAAGGCACTATCAGTATCAGTGCTACCGTTTTGTATACCTGGTATAAAATAACTCTCGTAAATATAATCTGTTAACATTTAAAGGGTGTTAATGAGATTTCTCAGAATTTAGATAACATCAACAAAGATCTTATTAAAAAAAAAACAACGTGCTCTCATGGATTAAATTCTTAATTTAAGTAATTAATAAGATTTTTTATAGTGTTGTCACTGTTGTATCTGATAACTTAAGTTTCGTTTGTCAGATTATGCTAAATTGTTATACTGGGGTAATATTTAGCACACAAGTAGAGTATGACCTACAAAACCGATATTGTTTCAATGCCGGTTTTGTTTTCCACTAATAATTACCATTAGATAATTTCCTATTAGTACCCACACAGATAAAAACACTGAAAATGCTTTCTGTACTTGCAGTAATTTTATTCTGTTATTGACTTCATTAGGTACTTTATAGAATTATTGAAAAAAAAAACTAGAATATATATATATTAAACTGTAATTGTCACCAAGCATCGGCTACGCTGAGGTATTATTACTTCTGGCTTGCAGATCATATGTCAGTAGATATGTCAGTGAAATTATTGTGTACACGGATATGACATCTTAATATTCAAGAGTGGCAACACATAAGGTGTACCACAGACGTGTCAATAATCTGTGATATTCATGTATATAAGTTATGTACAGGCACCATTTTCTAACAGTTTGGGCCATCCGGTCAGTAGAGTAGTTGAGGATGACGCCTTCAGATGTCAATAGGTTTTAGGCCACCTTCATTGTACACAAAGTTAGTTACACGTTACTTTTACACAAAACATATGTAAAGCTAACGTAGACACAAAGTAATAGACAATCTTTATTAAATAATTCAATTAAGAAATTTAAAAATTTTGTGTTTTAATGTTCTGCAGTTAAACGTTTTCATTTTAATTGTTATAAAAAATTTACACGACGTTCTTAATCTCCGAGATTAGTTAGAGCATGCGTTGACCAAAAGTCGTGCCCTGCACAGATGCACATAATTCCGTTGGCTAAGTAATAAGTTGTGTATTTCTATACGGAAAACCACAGTCTGAATCACTAATGAGAGTGCGCAATTTAAATCAACGATTTATAAGGAGTGAGTTATTTCGCAGGCCGCACGTACGATATTTATACTTTGTAACGGCCACTCTGATATTCAAATTCACAGTATTGAGATAAATGTAACGAGTGTCTGATAACTTGCATACCGATATTGTTTAATGGACTAGAGTGTTTATTGTCTTCAAGATTATTATTTTATTGTATCTAAATTATGTGGACAATTCATACGAAATTATTTGTGCTCTCACTTAGTATATTGAGTACCTATTTTTTTTAATATTTTTACAGTCTGACCATATTTTTCTGAAATCTAGGATGAAAGTCTACTTCCTTATGGAAATTGTTTGTTATATTGCTCGTTAGAAGTGGGTAAGTCTTGTCCGGATGATATCTCTTAACCCCCTCAATTAGTGTGCCCCACTATCGCGCACAATAACCCGAAAGCGGTAGCTTATACGCGTCCCGTACTCGTGACGCGACGAAGTACTAAATGAGTGTACTCTTAATTAGCCACTATACTATAAATTTTAAGGCGATGATAAGGTCCCGTTGTGCGCTCACTGGGAACAACGTTGTCGACTAAATGGCGCTTAACGAATTAAACTCAATTAATTCTTCCTCGCCGAGAATTAACGCTAGTTAATTTCTTTAGTTTCCATAAAATTTACTATAAAATGTGATCAACAAAAAAAATATCACGAATTATTGCCTCATCATCGCCGTTTGAAGTGTTTCCAGCGACAGTTCAGTCACTCATGTTGGCTTTTGATGTGATGTCATTTATTACCACAGACAAATTGACTTTTTTCGGCTTTAAACTCAATTTAAATACCGTTTTAAACTTTTTAATGAATTGAAATTCGTGGCGCGTGGTGGAATGTCTATGTGACGAGTTTGTAACTATATAATTACTGTAATAACATCTAATGGCTCGTCCCGTCATGACTAGCAAATTCGCGAGGACTACAGAAAAACGGTACATCGACAGCCATGTGAGGACAGGTTGTTAGGCGGGCGGGAAATCGCACTTATATGCTTCCATATTAATTATATATTCCTATACGATTCTGATAATAATTATAACAACGATTGTTATAAGCACCTTTATGTTACTATTTACTGTACGTAAATGCAATGAAACTTGTCGGCTGTACCGTCTGATAACGGAGCGTTTTGTCTGTAATTAAGAGCAGCGAGAGCGGGTCAGATGTCCGCTCGCATATTACCACAAAGTTATGGAGACATTTTGAGCGTGCTAGAATTGTTTAACTACAAGCTTGTCATGTTAAGGTATTGCTTCGTGTTATAAATCTATAACAGCTACGTTACAGCACCTAATAGAATATTCATTAATTATTACAAACAGATCACTTAAAATAACGAAGATTAATATTTATTAACATTTGTTCGTTTGCGCTTTGTTACATTTACCGCGAAAACAAGAGAAATACAAAACATAAAATCGTTTGGCGTTTTATTAAACCTAAAGCTAGTTCACACAGTATGATGTCTAATTAATAGACACTTTAAATGCAAATAGACAGCACAGAGCTACTTCCTTCGTGAGCGGACGATTCGGCGCAGTCGCGTAGTGAAGCTGTTCATCGAGATCACGAGCCCATAAAGCGAAGTCAATAATCGTTGTTCGTGGCGCGCCGGGAGCCAAGTGTAAATGGTTCCTCAATGCCGAACGGTAGCCCGCTGGTAGTCTCTTTTACATTTTATTGAGCAGTCTCATTAGAATTACTTTTTATTTAAACCTCTTAAACAGCCTACATTTATATTTATTACTTATCAAGTATTTGTTACCGTTATATACGTAACGTAAACAGCTAGAGCTGCTTAGTTAATCCAATTATCTGTATTTACTCACGTCCTTTGTTTTCTGATTAATTCATAGATTGTTGTCTAGTCATTTACTGGTACTCTTAATTTGGTTATTTTTTAAACATTTCCAATCAAATAAAATAATTACCTATATATAGTCCTGTAAGTACCGGTTGCCGGTGGTCCACCAGTCATGTAAACTAGGTAGAACACAATGTCATCTAGTAAAGCAAAGCTTGTACTAATAGATATAGACTTCTTTATAAATACATGATCTTCATCATAATGTATTTCGTGATATCCACGCGTTGTTCATGGCTAGTCGAAGTCCACTTTACTTTTGGTGGGCAATCTACTTGTTTGCCATTCTAATTTGTATAAAAAAAATTATCATTCATAAAAATCCCTCTACTTCTATACGGGGATTCTAGTCATGATATTTTCTTCAAAACCACATGATAAAAATATTTTTCATGCTTCACTACACTCAGCCTATGGCCTCGGTAGTTAAAACTCAATTCGAAGTAATAAAATTAATTCAAATTATAACAAGACCCAACAATTTTCTCTAACACTAATCATTTTAAAATATCTCTTAACCGGTGTTAAATCTCACCTGCCGACGTTAATTTCACAAGGAATGAAATGAGTTTCTGACGACGACAAGTCAAATGTAACCCTTAATTAAGCAAGCAATAACTTTACACTCTGCATCCAAATCGCCAACATCCGTACATAATTTAGCGATAGTCGATGAATAGTTATAATTTATTTTTCAAATCTTTTGTAAGAACATGCAATAAACTGAATCTAATTTTCCAATATCTGATATAGCCTATATATCTGAAATTAGAAGAAACGAGATAGTAACTACTCCTTTCCATCCATATGGTACTCGTATATCTAATCATGTTCGTCATTTCCCGTAATAATTTTATAGTAATTAAAGTGATTATTATAATTTTTTTTATTTTAAAAATTTTTACTTGTTTTTTAAAAGTAGTTTTAAAAAATTAAAACATATCTATGAATTTGTTATATACACAGATGTAAATCAGAACTCTATTGTAATTATAATACTGGCTGTCGAGATGACTTATATAAATAAATGTTTGCAGCACTCACTGACTGGCCACAGTGGGAAGGTGATGGCAGCCAAATTTCTGGGTGAATCAACCAAGGTGATCACCGGTAGCCACGACCGGACACTGAAAATTTGGGACCTTAGAAGTAAAAGCTGTAAGTTAATTATAATCATAATTACTTATTGTGTTATAAATATATGCATATATTACGTTCTTTATATGTGTATTAAATTTGAATATAAAATTATAAGAAGAAAAAAAAACAATATATATTGCTAGTATAATATAATTGTAATTAGGCGATGTCTGTACATTGGAAATATTTAAGAAGAATTGATATGAGATGTCTTAATAAAAACAATAGAAGTCACAACAATAATTTTATAAATTTTTCCTATCTGTTTGATCACACAAAAACTGCTGCACGAAATTGGATATGGTTTTCACATTTGTGTTCCTGAAGGTCAAACCTGAAATCCAGTGTATTTATCTTGATGCGCTATTTAAAAGCCAATTTAATGGGTTTTCCTACTTCTAAAATCTATGCTTACGAAATAGCTAGCAAAAAGCTTGTAGACTGTATAATTATATTAAATACAATGTATTGCCATGTACTCGTATCTAATATAGTTAGCCAAGTAGGTCCCGGCATAGAATAGGTCATCCCTTCCTTTCCCGTGGGTATCGTAAGACGACTAAGGGAGCTTATAGTGGAGGAATAGGTAGTAGTTTCCCTCTTAAAACGTCACCAAAAGCCAAACTACGGTTATCAACCCGCAACTACTAGCAAAACCCCCCTTATGGGGGAGTCTATGTTCAGCAGAGGACAGTTCACGGCTGATTCAACAACATTCATTCACCACACTGACGAAGGATTAATATATTATTGATGATTATTTATTATTTACCATTTAATACAAGTGACTAAAAACAAAGTTTATATTTTTATCACTTTATTCTTACTAAACTTCAGAGTTTTTAATAAGCCGGAGGCGTTTTGCCAATAGTTGCCATGCTTGGCAGGCAGATTGGCAACCGCAGTTATACTTTGGAGATGTTTTAAGAGAGACGCTACTGCCCATACCTCCCTCCCCTCCCCCCTCTGCTTAGTTGGCTCTTATGACAACCACGTGAAAAAAAGGGTTGGTCTATTTATGCCGAGGCCACACGACAAATCCATCATTTATTATTTATTAATTAAAATACTCACGATGCGTCGCCAACACGGCGCGCACCCTTAAATCCTACAGGAAATAATAAAGGGCACAAAACTAATACGAACCAATAGAAATTATTGCGAGTAATCGAATTACTGCCATAATCGTTACATACCAATACAGCATAGGGTTCGTTAAAGGACGAGAGAAGCATGAGACCGGCAAGGAAATTTGTAACCATAAACACATTAAAATTATTGACGCTTGAGGCACCATCTCCCTCTATAATTAGTTTTACTATAGGTCATTAGGAGCGATGCTCGGATTTTCTACTAGAAATTGTTTATAATTATCTAATCAGGACATAAACTATATTTCTCGTCGTTGAACTAGTAATTATACAGCCTAATAAGCGAGCATGTTTGTTTATTAGTGTCTGCATGTGATGGTCCACCCTTTTGTAACCCTGTGTACCCCTTTATAATCTAACTACCTTCTAATCTAAGCTACACATGGAAAACCTACAAAGCCTAAGAAAAGCCTACGAAGGCTTTACCTAATGAAATCTCATGAAAATCTAATGAAAACCTACCCTAAGGAATGGCCTAACACCCTCAATATAACCCCATACCTATATTGCCTTATATACCCCAAACACCCTATGAATCATATAACCTTTACAATAAACATATAATATTGAACAGATCTTATAGTAGAACACTTGATCATTTGGCCAGATAAATAAATGTGTGATCGTCTAGTAATGTAGGACCCGTTGTGTGTGTAATAACCAAAAGGTTCTTTAATTGGTATATGATAGGAGTTAAATAATGAAGATAATTGATAAATCTTTAAGGATTAAGAATAATTAATGAATTATACTCATAATTCATGAAACTAGAAGGTTATGTTAATTTAATATTAAATTACAGAACAACTGTCATAATAAAAAAAATGGGGGAGCGGTCGGGCCCCTCACACGCCCGGACCAGTGGAAGACTTTCCAACTATCTATAACTCTTCCTCCAAAAAGGTAGGGAAGGGTATTACTATTTATTAATGCACTCTGATGGTAATAAGGGCATGAGTATTCTCAGTTCCAAACCAAACATAAGTACATTTACTTCAACATTACAGTGGCTCCACCAGCCCCACGATGCTTCCAGTATAAATTGGTGTTTGCCAGAGGCAAAAGGATCGGAACTGAAATCCCAGGATCACTCCGACACGAGAGCTTACTCATGGGCGATGACCCTTTCAGTCCTATATGGCGACATAGAGATCACCCACTAACAGTACGAAACTGTTTCCCAGCGTCACCCTGTTACGAGCTTACTCAATGGGGGTTTCCCTTCGGCTCCACAAGAGATCAGACCAAGAAGCGAGATCACCCAGACACCAGAACCTACTTTGATGGGACATAACCCTTCGGCCCTATAATGTGACATTAGAGATCACCTGTGAAGACAGTCCGATAGAGATGAAGATTTGTGTGATAGGGGATACCTTCCACACCCTGGAATTGGCCAAGCCATATAATGTTGATAATTGCTATATCATAACATAGCATTGTCAATTTAATATTATTTACTTAATACCAAGAATACTCAAGGTTCAAGTTAAATCTGTTGATTAGGCCGGAGCCTAAGAACGAGTAGTCCAAACCATAGGTCGAGAGCTACTAAAAGTAATGAGTGCTATTGAATGAACTATAAGTCCAGTCAAATATATATAATATTATTGTTGATTAACCACATTGTGAATTAACCAATTATTTATTCAGAGAGATATATCTAAAGGAACTATAAGTCCTTTAAAAGACACTGATTAATCACAAGTTAACAACGTCTCGTGAAATAACCAGTTGGGTTTTCTATAAGTTTGAGGACACTAAGTCCAACAAGCTATTATTGTGTTGAGAGTAATAGAGATCTTTTGTAATATTTGTAGAGGTTTGATTAATCACATTGTGAAATAATCAGATTAAATAATTATGTAGCTTTATAGAGAGGACTATAAGTCCTAATTGGTTGTTGTCATAAGTACTGATAAATTACACATTAAAGTGCCAGGTCAATTATTATATATAGGTATATAGGAAGGACAATAAGTCCTATTTGTGTATGTTGAGTAGTAGATGTATATTGAATAATTATAATGTAAAAGATATATATTAAATATATATTTGTATAGAAAGGACAGTAAGTCCCATACAATTATTGTAGCTGTACTATAGTTATACTATATCTACTTCCTTTTAGTGTCTTAGTAAACCTATTTACTAAGAGGATTTCTCAGATAAACAAGTGTTTTAGTGTTTAAATCATCATGATTAAATCCCTAAGAAATTAGGTCTTTAAATAATTATCATATCATTTAAGTGAAATTTCTCATATAAATAATTCCAATATTTCCCCTACAGTTATTATAAAATAACAGAAAATTATATAAATTTTCTATAGACTTAGATATAGAATCATAACGTGTATAATCTCCTTTTGTTTGCATCTGTCACATTAATGACGTATTGAATGACGTATTGATGTATTGAATTGAATTTAGATTATCTATCACAACTGTCAACGTAACAAATACTAGCAAGTTTGTTTATTTGTATTTGTTTAATATAATTAAATATAAAATCATCATATATCAACCGTAATATACAACTAAATTATCAGTGACATAAATAATCATGGTTTACACCAGAAATAATTAATAGTATCCAGTAATGCTGCAGTTTTATATTCATATCAGTAGCCAAGCTTACTTTCAAATTCAAGAATGAACAGAAGATTAGAAGTTTAACATTCTTATTGCAATTGTACTTGCAATAATATATACATACAGTACTAATTATCAAGAACATTCCTCAAATACATGTGTGGTGAAGATTTTCCCAATATGCTATCTATTTGATTTCTAACCTCTAATGTAAATTTATTAAAGAAGTGAATAATCAGTGTTAGTGTTTGCTTTATTAATATTTAAAGTAATTGTCCTAACTTGATATTAATAGGATCATATCCCCTTGAATACAGTCCGATATAAACATATAACTCAATAATTAAATTTATAAAATACTAATATTATATTTTACTACTTGTATATCTCCATACTATTCCCATAAAATATTCAAAACATGTATATTAAATATAAATCCAGTAAATATTCACTAATATTAACCCTGTCTGAACTTGTCTAGTCAATATAACATGAACAAACAACACACATACAAACCTTATCGCCAGGACAACTTCCTTTCTAAATATGAGTAAAATACATAGCTTCACAAGTGTCATACAGTACCAATTTTATAATGAACCTCATACCTAGTTAAGAGTAACTATAGTCAGAGAATCTTTTAGTACTTTTATTACCATTAGGAAATAAATCCACACCTATAATATCAGCATAATTAAATATTATTAGTAATCAGTAATACACACAGAATTGTTATTATCAGCTTGCTTACTACAACAAAATCAATATTAAAGTTTATAATAAATCAAGACAAAATATCTATTTAAACAATACAGGCTTGTTTACCATAAACACCCCACAGTCACATGAATTTATCTAATAACACAATTAATAATGTATTAAAAGTATTACATTCACATAATATTACATGCAACAGTTAAGCTGTTTCTTTGTACATCCGGTGTAAAACAAATCCCCACATGTAATCATGGGTAATTAGAAGTATACAAAAGAATTATTAGTTCAGTCGACCGAGCAATGGTATGAAAACATTTCACCATGAGACGTTAAGCATGCACAGATATTCCAAACCAACACTGTAATAGTGTAATAAATACAACTATTCCATCATCATCATCGTCTCAACCATCATCAATCCACGACTGAACACAGGCAATTCCCACACATTACCACAAAGAACGGCCCGAGACTCCTGCATCCACTAACTCCCTGATCAACCTATAATAACTTTGCTTGCTTGCCTGACCGTTATAAATAAATAATTTTATATTAA